GTGCTTTCTGTTGTCCTGTCTTCTAGGTCACTTATTCGTTCCTCTGCATTATCTAGCCTGCTTTGTACAGCCTTTGGTTCAGCTCTCATCTCAGCAAATGAGTTTACTCATTCTACTTGGTTCTTCTTTATAAATTCTATTTCATTTTTGACATTTTATATTTCTAAACACTATTTCTTTTATTTCTTTAAGTACTTTGATCACTCCTTTTTTGAAATCTTGATCTAGTAGGTCATCAATGTCTATTCCTTGATCATGCTTTCAGGGGATTTCTCTTGATCTCTTAATTGGGAGTAGTTCCTCTGCTTCTTCATATTGCTCATATCTCTCTGGCACTGGTGGGCGGGTGGGTCATTCCCCCTCCCGATGTCGCAATCAGATGCTGTGTTTGGGTGAGGCAGGTGGGCAGATCACGCCCCCTCCCAGCACCGTGGTCAGGTGCTGCGTTCCTGCCAAGAAGGCAGGTCGCTGCCCGCCCTCTCCCTGCTCCAGTTGCTGTGCTGCTCTGTGCAGCTGCCCACTCCACCTCGGGTTGGCGCTCCATAGGCGGGCTTGGGAAAGATTCGGAACAGCCCTGCCCCTGCTCTGTGACAAATCTCAGCTCCTTGTTTGTCTCGACAGTGCGAGTTCTCTGAGGTGCCAGGGCAGAAAGATCTTACCTGCTTTGGGCTGTAAACAAGTCTCACTCCTGCCTAGGAGGTTGCGGAGCCCCTGGGTGCAGATTCAGGGCTTTGCCCCACCCCCAACCACATGCTGCTCACAGGAGGATATGGCAGCTGTGTCTGCGCCCTGCCTCTCTTCTCGCCAGAAGCACCAGTAATGGCACCGTGGTCTGAGGAGACAAAGGCTACGGCGCGTTTCCCCCCCAGGGCACACCAGATGTGTTGCTTTGCTTTTTTCTCAATTTATGGGGGACCGAGGTTGTTCTGCTCCATATCCTCTCCCAGCCACGGTGCACAGCACCCTGCAGTCCCCCAGGGCTGCCTCAGTGCAGCTGTCCCAGTGCTCCACCAGCTCGGGCAGCCTGTCCTGGCCCCCAGCTGCCAGCTCACGTCTCGGGCTGGGTGTCACAGGGACCCTCTGTGCCCGTTTAACTTAGTTCTGTCGGACAAGGGGTGCTCTGGGCAGATCTGAACCTCGGAGGCTACCCCTCCGTCCTGCTGACCTCTCCGTTGGAGGAGGGAGACCCAGTGAATGAGCACTAGTCCTCCTTTGCCGCTCCCTCCCTGCAGGACCAGTCCCGCACTGTTTTGCTTTTTCTTCTTTTTTTCCTTTTGTCCTACCAGATTTTTGGCGTCTTTGTCTTTCGAAGAGGGCAATGTTCTATAGGAGTTTGGCAGGTGCTCTGGTTGGCTGAGTGAGTCCGTAGATGTGAGTTTTGGTAAATTTGTGGGAGAGGTGAGCTACAAGCATCCTTCTACTCCTGCATCTTGCTTCTCTCCATGAAGAAACTGTCTTTATTCCATTATATATTCTTGCCTCCTTCATCAAAGATTAGTTGACCAAAAGTTTGTGGGTTCATTTCTGGGCTCTCTATTCTGTTCCATTGGTCTACATGTCTGTTTTGGTACCAATAGCATGATGTCTTGATGACTGTAGCTCTATAGTATTGTCTGAAGTCTGGGAGAGTTATTCCTCCAGCCTCTTTGTTTTTTTCAGTAATGCTTTGGCAATTCTGGGTCTTTTGTGGTTCCATATAAATTTGATTATGATTTGTTCTAGTTCTGTGAAACATGTCCTGGGTAATTATACTTCAGTTTTTAAAAAGTGACCTTGCAAGCCAAACTCTTGAGAGTGATGTTTATAGTCAGTGGCTTAAAATTATTGTTTGGGACCTTCAAAACATTTTTCCAAAATACTAAAAACTGTCTTACTTTTGATTAAAACTTTACTGTTTGTTATAAATGATAAGGGTTTTTTGTTACAAAGAAAGGAAATATCTTAATTCTTAACTTTATAATTTTAAATAGGTGTACTAAATAAATATAATTTTACAATTATATAGTTTCATTTCATTATTAGTTAAAAGTATTAGCGGATAGCTAAATTGATTAAGATGGAAGTCTTTGTATGGTGGGAGCGAAGGAATATTATGCCATCATTAAAATATCTACAGAAAACTTTATAATATGGGAGAATGCTTTTGTTTCAGTAATACACTTTAAAAGGCAGATTATAATAGCAATGTAATCTATTTGTCCACTTTTAATGGAGAGTAGAAACTCTGCTAGAAAATACATTACAGCATTATTAGTGGTTTTTCTCTGAGATTTGGTATGTCTTTTTTGTTAAACTCTTGTTATATTTATGTATTGATAATTTTTATCTTATGCAAATGTCATTTTATATCAGAGAGTAAGTACTTCTAATACTGTAAGATATTTAAAAGTAAGAACCTTATGTTACTGATACTTGTAAGTACTTAAAAAATTTTTCTTTAGAGAATAATTAGCAGTTGTCCTTTTTTTAGGGAGTAATTAAGTTTCTTGTTTTTGATGAGGTATTTGTCTTGTGAGCTTCATTGTATTTGATGAACTTTGTTTTCAATAAATATATTTTTAAAATTAAGATTGGATTTTTTCTAGTTTCAAAGAAGATTTTTTTTTTGGTAGATAATTCTGTTGAAATTATTTTAGAGAGATGGATGTAACTGGAAAATTTTTATCTTGAGATGTGTTTATAATAAATAATATTTTCTGCTTATAAATTGTTTTCAAATTTTTCTAATGTTATGAAATGTTTTTCCTTCTAGGTTCATATAATTTTGATATAAAACATTAGTGTTTTAAGTTGAACCTTTTTATGCTTTTTTAAAAATTTTAAAGCATGAAATATAATTTAATGTAAGATTAAAGTTGATTTTTAAGGTTTCATAGTTATGATCAAGCTTATTAAGAATATGCTGGAAAAGAAAGCCTCTAGTCTTGATTTCATAACCATGAATAATTTTAGTCAGCTCTTTTATTAACTTGAACTAGTTAGATGTCAGATGGGTTTTGTGAAGCACAGTGAAGAAAATAACAAATAATAGTACAAGATTTAAAATTCCATTTCCTACTTAATATCAGTAATTATCAAAGAAATGCAAATCAAAACTACAATGAGGTATCACCTCACACCAGTAAGGATGGTCATCATTCAAAAGTCCACAAATGATAAATGCTGGAGAGGCTGTGGAGAAAATGGAATCCTTCTACACTGTTGGTAGGAATGCAGTTTGGTGCAGCCATTGTGGAAAACAGTATGGAAATTCCTCAAAAAATTAAAAATAGACTTACCATATGACCTAGCAATCCCACTTCTATGCATATATCCACAGGGACCCTACTTCAGAAAGACATCTGCACCCCAATGTTCATAGCACTATTGACAATAGCCAAGACATGGAAACAGTCTATATATCCATTGACAGATGACTGGATTAAAAAAGATGTGGTATATTTATACAATGGAATACCACTCAGCCATAAAAGATGATAAAATAATGCTATTTGCAGCAACATGGAAGAATGTCATTCTAAGTGAAGTAAGCCAGAAAGAGAAAGAAAAATACCAATATAATATCACTCATGTGTGGTATCTGAAAAAAAAAAAAAGACAGATGAACTTAATATATAAAACAGAAACAGACTTTCAGACATAGAATACAGATTTGTGGTTGCAGGGCAGAGAAGGGTGGGAAGGGATAAACTGGGAGTTCGAGATTTGCAGAGACTGACTGTTATATATAAAATAGATAAACAAGATTATACTGTATAGCACAGGGAAATATATTCAATATCTTGTAGTAGCTTATGGTGGAAAGAATATGAAAATTAATATATGTATATTCATGTATGACTGAACAATTGTACCATACACCAGAAATTGACAACATTGTAAATTGTTTACACCTCAGTAAAAAAAGAAAAATCCCATTTCCGTTTAAGTAACTAGATGAAATTACTATCATATTTAAATTTTTTCTGAGTTATTTCATCCACTAAAAAGGTATAATTTCTGAATTTCACTTCTTTGAAAAATTAAAATCTTCCTAGGACAAACTGAATTATGTATGCTTGAATTAATTATGACCAGGTTAAATCATTCAAAATTGTGATAAAATATTTTTTCTTATAGCACATTATTTAATGGTGATTAAACACTGTAAATTTTGAGGTTGACTTAACAATGATTTTTGTGTAGAGAATGATTTTTGACCCCACTGTCTATTTATTTAACCATGAAACAGTAATTCCTGTTAATAAAATTAGATTATTTTTGTGTTAACTGTTTGTTCCAAAGGTTGCACAGTGAATTAAAAGATGCCGTTGAAAAGCAAGTGGATGCCCTTCCCTTTGGCACAGAGATGGGGAATGAGATATATACAGATGATGAAACAGTCAGGAATCTTCAAGAACAACTTCAACTGGCCAATCAAGTGAGTGATTATATATATATATTGAATTGTATCTTGAATAAACAGTTTCTTAAAATCTGTGTTAATCATTATTTATTAATGATAATAACAGAATATCAAAGTTGTTAATGGAATAATTTTCTATAATTTGCAAAATAGTTGACAGATAACAAAACTTTTGTACTACGTACGCTCACTGTTATAAATGTAGTTGCCATATATATATTTTAATTTGGCATAACTTTTTGTGTTATAGAGTATTTTAATGCCAAAGAAAATTTTTAAAGAAAATAATTAATTATCCACTTGCCTAAATTTACATTTTTTATTTTTTGTGTTTTCTTCTGATGGTGTGTTTTCTTCAATTTTCAAAGATTTTAGAATTATATTTTTCTAAAATTCTACTTCTTTTAGAATTAGACTTTTTCTCTTTTTTTCTTCCTCACAGTAACTGAAATATTTGTAAGCTATGTTGTATATATCCTGTTTTTAGCACTGTAATTTTTGGGGTATAAGTAAAGGAATTTAATTTTAATTTAAAATTTTCTATCCCTGGGTATCTTGTATCTTGTTTTTTTTTGTTTGTTTGTTTTTAAACATTTTTTATTGATTTATACTCTTTTTACAATGTTGTGTCAAATTCCAGTGTTCAGCACAATTTTTCAGTCATTCATGGACATATATGCACTCATTGTCACATTTTTTTTTCTGTGAGTTATCATAACATTTTGTGTTTATTTCTCTGTGCTATACAGTGTAATCTTGTTTATCTGTTCTACAATTTTGAAATCCCAGTCTATCCCTTCCCACCCTTCACCCCCCTGGTAACCACAAGTCTGTATTCTCTGTCTGTGAGTCTATTTCTGTCCTGTATTTATGCTTTGTTTTTGTTTGTTTGTTTGTTTTTGTTTTTGCTTTTTAGATTCCACATATGAGCGATCTCATATGGTATTTTTCTTTCTCTTTCTGGCTTACTTCACTTAGAATGACATTCTCCAGGAGCATTCATGTTGCTGCCAGTGGCATTATGTTGTCGGTTTTTATGGCTGAGTAGTATTCCATTGTATAAATATACCACCTCTTCTTTATCCAGTCACCTGTTGATGGACATTTAGGCTGTTTCCATGTTTTGGCTATTGTAAATAGTGCTGCTATGAACAT